AGGCAGAGAATAAAAGTGTGGTCTAATATTTGAAATTATCAGACTGAGTTATGCTTCTCCTTAGTGACAGTTAATCAAAGTCCCAATTAAATAAATAACTTACACTGCCTGACTAGAGGTGGTATTCAGCAGGTTCTGACCAGTTCTGGAGAACCGGTAGTGGAAATTTTGAGTAGTTCAGAGAACTGGTAAATACCACCTCTGACTTGCTCTGCCCCCATCTATTCTCTGCCTCTTGAGCTCCAGCTGATCAGGAGGGAATGGGGATTTTGCAGTAATCTTCTCTCGGAGTGAGGAGGGAATGGACATTTTACAGAATCCTTCCCCTGCCACACCCACCAAGCCATGCCCACAGAACCGGTAGTAAAAAAAAATTGAATCCCACCACTGTGCCTGATCCTTGGGGACTCTGGTTAATGCTTTCAATCTGCAAAAAGCAAAAGGGAAAAAAATAATTTCAATGCAGAATATGGGGCAGGGGGAAACAGAGGGGACTCTAATGTTTAGCTCCTTTTAGTTAAAAATGGGAGGCAATTTTTGGAACAGCATTGAAAGTCCTTTTCTGGGAGAAGAGCTCCCAGGTTTTGCGTTGCAAGGGCGTGTTAATAAATGTTGGACTCTATCCAGAGCAGGACTTTATCGAGTTTTTCAAAAACAACTCATGCAACTTAAAATGTTCACTGCCAAACTGCCGCCACCCTTCACTTGTAAAGTTAATGCATAACACATAGAAAAATGCCCCAAAGCAAGCAGATGTGAAATGGATTATTCTCCTGCCCTTGGCTGCTCCGCAGGTCGGCATTAATTCAGCATTGCAATACTAAGCTCGTAAAAAGCAGAGAGCTGGTCTGTTGCAGAATCTAAAAGAATGGGCAATTAATGGTGTGCCAGAGTCAAGATTGACAAATCGTTAAATAACCACAAATTGAAAGGAAATTGTTGATCCGTGCATCTGCAAACCTCTCCCCCCCCCCACCAACACAGAACACACCCTATAAAATCAAACACGTGCCTTATCTTTGGCATTCCTACCTTCCCAATATTGACAGGTAGGATTTGTGGCTGTTTATCTGAGCTATCAAATCTGGACTGCAAGAATTCCAGACTGCTCGATGGCATTTCTTTGCCCAAGTTTTTGGGGAGGGTGATCAAAGGCCCTTTTGAGTGATTTTGCTTTTGTTCCTGTTCTGGTTTGCTTGCTTTTATTCTTTGTTCTTGCTTAAAAGGTAAAGGTTCCCCTCACACATAGTACTAGTCGTTCCTGACTCTACAGGGCGATGCTCATCTCTGTTTCAAAGCCGAAGAGCCACCGCTGTCCGAAGACGTCTCCGTGGTCATGTGGCCGGCATGACTAAATGCTAAAGGCGCAAAGAACACTGTTACCTTCCCACCAAAGGTGGTTCCTATTTTTCTACTTGCATTTTTACATGCTTTCGAACTGCTAGGTTGGCAGAAGCTGGGACAANTCTGTTTTTTGCTCATTTCTGCCCTCCCCAGCCCCCAGGAGCTCTCTGAAAGCCTCCATAAGGGTATGCACGGCCATTTTGGTGAAGGGGCGGGGCTTTGGGAGACAAAATATGATGTATTCAGTGTATAAGACGCACCCAGATTTTCAGCCTCTTTTTTTGAGGAAAAAGGGTGCGTCTTATACTCCGAAAAATACAGTAAGTCTTTTTTCTTCTTCTTTCCTTCCTGTGATTTAGAAGTTGATAATAATAGGAGAAAAGTCCCTTCTTCCTCCAAGAATATAAATGACGATTAATAGATGGAGGTGGTTTTATGGTATGCTTAATGCTTTGGGGGAAGACATTCTGTCAGAATTTAAAGTAGCTTCTCTGGTATCATATCATAAATGTATTACCTTTTTTCGCCCATCAAGTTTTAAAATATATAAAATCTGTAATTCATGATTTGATGATATGAAATAGGAGGGTAATTGCCCATCCTTGCTTGGTAGCCAATTGCAAAGGATAGTTCACCAAAGATCTATCAGTTAAAAGTTAACTGCACCTTCTAATCAAACATGTAGCCAAGCTGTTTTCCTCCCAATTAAAACTGTTTCTGGTTGATTAAGCAAATTTTAATTATAGCTATAATATGAAGAAGGGCCTTGATATTTTTTTTAAAAAATTCATCAATTACCCTTTAGAATGTCCTTCATCATTACAGCAACTATGCTTTTGGAGCTATGTGGTATATATAAAAAGGGGGCACTTCTCTGCGTCAGAGCAGTTTTAAAAAGCAATAGCAGCAAATTTTAGGGCAGTGTTGGCGAAACTTTTCAGCACTAAGTGTTGAAACGGGAGCACCGCACATATGTCCCTGCATGCCAGAAACCAGAAGAACAGATGATCTCTTCTGGTTTCCGACATGCGCCTGCGCCTGCAAAGATCAGCTGTCCAGTGCACATGCGCCGGGATCCTCACGCCTTGCTGCATGCCCCTGTGGTCCCTGACAACCGGTTCCGCAGCCCCGGACATGGAGAGAAAGTTGGGCAGAGAATGCAGCCTCCCTTTGCTGGAAAGCCGGAGCCCCTTCCCAGCCTTGGAGGGAAGGGGCATCAGCATTCCTGGGGTTTGGGTTGGGGGACAAGGAGGTGGGAGCGCTTTGCTCCAACTCTGGCTGGAATGAAGCGCCCCCCCCCCCCAGCTTGCCACCGAGAACAAGCCAGCACAACCCTCCCCTTCTTGGCCGCTTCCCTGTTGGCGCACTCTTACCCCTCAGCTGTGTCTCCATGCGTGAGGAGCTGCGCACTGGACAGCTGTTCTTTTGGTTTCTGGCGCTCCCACATGCATGAAGACCAGTTGGCTGGCACGCTGGAACCAGGAAGAGCAAAGGGCGGTGGCTTGCATGGCTGGAGAGATGGTTCTGCGTGCCACTTCCGGCACGCGTGCCATATGTTCGCCATCACAGCTTTAGGGTATAATGTGTATCTTGCCTCTGATAATGACATTTCTATCAGTTGTGAGAAAAATGATTTAAGTGTTTTTTTTCTTTTTTCCAGGTATGCACTTCTTGTTGTGAAGGAAACATCTGCAACTTGACATTACCTAGGAATTCAAGCGATGCCGTATTTTCAACAACAACACCTATAAATCATACCCAGAGACATTGGCAAGATGCATCCATAATAATGTTAGGTCTCCTGTCTCTCTTTGCTACGTAGACCTTTTTGGATAAATTACCAACTAAACATCAAGAAAATCCAATGGGATGAAAATATTTATGCACACAAATATGATCTTAATTTAATATATGTTTTTCAATGCTTTCTTTTTTTAAGTGACATTTTAAAACAATCCTTTGAATTCCTTTTGGCCTTGGCTGACTCAAAAGCCATACTTTCTGATATGTGTCTTTAAAAAAGGAGGGACTTTTGTTATAAGTTGAATGTTCTGAACGAAAACTTTTGTATAGCCATTAAAAATGGGTGTATTTTTTTTAAACCATTCTTTAGTCTAGTGAAAGGAGTATTTCTAGAAATTGCATACTTTGAATAATATCAATTGAAAACCAGGGTTTCAAAATAACACTATTCTGCTATGCAAGAAAGGATTCTAGATAATTGTCTTACAGCATCAAACCAATCCTAGCTTAATCATTGTATTGTATTTGATTTCGATTGAGTAGTTTATATTGGTATATCGCTAGATGAGTGGTGCGGCGGCCTAAAGGTGGAGCTCTCGCCTCACAATCAGGAGGCTGTGAGTTCGATCCTAGGTAGATATTTCTCTCTGTGTGCACAATGAGAATACATCTGCTGAACAAAACTCCGCATTGGCAACAGGAAGGGCATCCAGCCAGTAAACACTCTGCTCCATTCAGTTGCCCAGACTCACCCCACAAGGGATTATGGCATCATTAAAAGGAGATGATGGTTAATATATCGCTACACATAGTGAAATCACAGCTCAAGTCTCCATGATATTAATAGGACCTATGCTATGACTAGATTTAATCCATATTTTTAAATCAACTATAGGAGATCAAGACTCATTTTAGAAAAATCATGGTCATGAGTGTTAAGCAGGCATGTGGTTATTCCCCTGAATGTACGAAGATGGCAAATGATTTTTTTCTAAAATGTTCTTTAATCTGGTAAGAATTTTTATTTCTAAAATGCCTATGGAGGTTTCAAATAGTCTATTCAAATAGCCATGTTGATTATTACAAAGTTTTAAATTTTTATTTAACCTAACCAATTAGTTAATAATAAGATTAATTCTGTGCCCAGTTGCTGAGAGTAAAGCCCATTGCACTCATTCTGTGAGATTGCCGAATTATTCCTATGTACTTGGAAGTAAAAACTATAGGAATCCCTGCCATTTACTGTTGAACAAACATGCCAAGGAGAGTGCTATGCATGTCTGATGTGCTTATTGAAGCTTGCCTTTAATTATTTGCTCTGCATGTACGCCATCTTCATTTCCTTTGTGAAGCTCTAGGTGTGCATCAGAACCTTGATGGGATCTCTGGGCTATAATAAAAACAGGCACATTTCAATAAGAGTTTCCTGCAACAACTGTAATAAGGATTTCAACTTGATCAGAGCTTTCGGTATAGAGCAGGGGTGTCAAACTCACATCGTCATGGCGACATCATGTGATGTATTGGGACTCCCCCCCCCCCCCTTCGCTAAACCAGGGCAGCAGGTGACACATCCAGCCTGCCTGCCGGGAGTTTGACAGGCCTAGTATAGAGATGTATGGTGGGTGAATGGCTTGCACTGAAGAACTATTTCAAATTCCATACTCCATTTGTGTCATTCAACATGGTTTATTTTACATAGTACAGTAGGTTGCAATATTTGTATTGGTATAATATAGGGGTGTCAAATTTGTATAATACAGGAGGCCACGGCTACCCCAGCTCCGTGAATAGGAAAAACATTGCAATGTCACATCACGGCAATGTCATGCACCAAGTTTAATACCCGTGGTATAATAGAATTAGAATTGCTACCATGTCGTATAGAGTGGCGGTCTTAAGTTACTACAGATAGTCCTCAACCTATGACTGTAATGGAGCCTGCTCATCACGATTATAAGTTGTGATAGTTGTAAAGTGGACACCCCCCCCCAACATACCCGACCCAATTTTTATGACCTTTTTTGTGGTGGATATTCAGTGAATCACCCATGGTCATTAAGCAAATCTGCAATTGTCAAGCAATCACTTCAACTGTTAAGCAAACCCATTATTCACTATGGGGCATTTTTGCCAAAAAATGGTCATTAAGCAAATCTGCAATTGTCAAGCAATCACTTCAATTGTTAAGCAAACCCATTATTCACTATGGGGCATTTTTGCCAAAAACCGGAAGCAAAGTGGAAGTAAAGCTCGGTTTTCAGCCAAAAAAAAAAAAAAAAATGGTGGCAAAAACAACTCTCAAAGCAGGCTGGTTGCTGAGCCCCCAAAATACAGTCGGGGCAGCCATCTTTGGAACCAGGTCGTAAGTATCTTTTGGGGGAATCTGTCATAACTTTGAATGGTCTTTAAGTAACCAGTCATAAGTCAAGGACTACGCCTATGAGCATTATTGCTGTTCCTGTGATGACCGGTCTGCTTTCTGATCAGCTCACATCTGTGTTGCAAAGTGGAGGAAAGGGGAAGAAAACAAAAAGAGAATAAAATTTAGCTTTACATGGTCTGGACAGACTTTTTTTTTTTTTTTTTTTTTTTAACCCATTCATTCATTAAATCCTAAAAGTTATGTAGACCAGCCATTTTGGGTTAATGTGAATGAAATGATTATTGAAGCTTCACAGATTACTGCCTTTATTAAAACAAACGATCTTTTTCATGTTTTTTGCAAGAGCCTGAAAAAAGATCTGGCTGCTTTTAAGAAATCCACTCACTAAACTCAATGGAGCTTTTAAGCAGCTGCATCTATTTTCAGCTTTGTGCGAAAGTTTGAAGAAAGTCTGATTCCTTTAATGAAGAGCTGCGAAGGGCCATGCTAGCACAAGGTCCAAGGCCCTTCATTTTAAAATCTTGCACAGCCCCATTATCAGTGGTGGGATTCAGCCAGTTCGGCCTGGTTCAAGCAAACCAGTTGTTAAATTGCTGCCGCGCTCCACCCCTTCCTGCCCCGCCCCTTCCAGGAGTCCCACCCATGTCCCGTTTTGGCTGCCAGGTAAGTGTAGGGAGGCCTATCAGTCCCAAAATGGAGTGTGGGGCGACA